ATAAGTGACGGCAATAGCAGCAGCGATTCAAACGATATTCAAACAGAAGTATATGATCACGTCAATCACCCCCACCCACCCCCGGCTCCAATAAACAGAACATTTCGCCTAATTTCAACCATTAAGCGTATATTCGGATATTCCCGATAAAGTCCCACTTGAATTCCTACCTTTACTGGCTATTTATTAGAGGAAAGACCAGAAAAACACAGTGAAAAACTTACCTGTGTTTTTGCGGCTGATGACTCCGCATCCAAAACAGGAGCGAGATTTTTTAATCTCTTCACGACTATATATATTCACAGCAGTAACACGGCGATACTGTACGGGAATCCCGTTTAGCTATTTACTATGAAATAATAGTCAGGGGAGGGGGGGGAAAATCACAAGCCCCAGTGATTAAATGTCATTCCCGACACTGATGACACCGTGCATTTCACTTGTTAATTAAACGATATTGTTGTAAGGAAAACGCAAGGTGCCTCCCGTCGTAAAAACAAGCAAAACATTTCGAAACGCTGATGATGATGCATTTTCCAGGGCAGGCAGGTGATAAGCGAGGACAGGAAGAACCCCCTTATTTCAAAATATGCTTAAACAACATACAGTGCAAGGAAAAGGTTAAGCTATTTTATAATCCTGCATGTAACAGCCCAAGCAGCTTCCCACCCGCAGGCAGACGAACCTAAACGTTTCTGTTTTTTATCATCGATTGGTATAATGTCCGGTTAGAGTTGCGGTTCAGATCCGTGGTGCATTTCATTGCGACGTAACAAAAATACCCTTAAAGACTCATTCACAAATGAAAGGGCATGCCGGCGTGTCCCGGGGAGCCGACACATCCTCACCGTAAGCGTGAAAAGGAAATCAATGAAAAAAGCAACTTGAAATATATAAATAAGGCCGATGCCGGCTCAAATAGTACTATTAATATTCATATTGGAGTTGCTCTTCTGGAGCCAGCCGTCTGCTGTGGAGGGTACGGAAAGCGTCTGCCGCACGCCGCGCCTCGCCGGATACCCGCCGGTCCTGCCGTATATGAGATGTCGTCTTTTTAAAGGTCGACATTCCTAGCCCTCGGACATCCGATTTCAAATATATTTTGGAGATATTGTGCCTTTTGTTGACGCTGTCGCGCCGTCCTTCCTCCCCTCTCTCCCTCCCTCCCCTCCGCCGTCCTCTCGGGTATTTACAGTTTGGGCAGCGCACTAGCCACGGACGTCAGCGGCCGGCGATCGCGTCGGGCTCCCGGGCTCCGTCCCTTCATCTCTACGGCAATCGACGACACCGCGTTTCAAGCGAAGGGACGCGATGAGCCGGAGAAGAAGCCACTGGAAATTCGGCGAAATGACACTGTGGAGGCTGGGATGCAACCAGACTGGGGGGGTTGGAAAAAAAAACACAAAGAGGCCAACACGTGGTGTCAACAACACACGATTCATGCAAATGAACACATGATCCACGCAAAAAACACACGACGCGCGCGAAGAGGCGTTTTATTTAACCCCCGACCCTTGACACGCATAATCACCGGGATAAGACGCCTTGAGAATAAACTAGGTACAAAGACACGCCATGAAAACGCTCATCCACTCAGACATACAGTTCCACGCAAACAGCCGCAGACAAACTGAGACATACGTCCAAATTTAGACCCACACCCCCGCAGATAGACACTCACACATTCCCATTCCCATTAAAGCACACACGGCTGACAGACACTGACAGTGCGCCTTACAGGATTAGTAAGGTTAACGCCAATTAGTAGAGCGCTTCATTTTAGCGCAGAATTTGCATGAAGGTTTATTTTATTGGGGCGGCTAGTTCAGCACTGCCGCCCATTAAATCACAGTTCTTCCTTTCCGTCCTTTCCCAATTTTTTGCTGCCCTCTATCTGCCTCGTGTCATTCGCAGTTACGCTGCTGTAACAGCGTGTGTGTGTGTGCGTGTGTGTGTGTGTGTGTGTGTGTGCGTGTGTGTGTGTGTGTGTGTGTGTGTGTGTATATATATATATAGGCACAGTTGTATAAACAGGTTAATTTTTATTCTCCCTGTGCCGTCTTTTCTGTGAAATGTGATAATTGACCAGGGTTTATCTGCTTCTGCTCCGTCACTTACGGCCCTGAAGGCATTTTGCGGGTTATGTTTTCCTACACCCTGTATACTCGCTGGATTTAGGCTGGGCTTTGGTCATTTTACGTAGGCTAATCAGTATCAGTTTTGGTGTTTTATTATAGGCTACAGTTTGAAAGGTAAATCATGGAAAGTTTATTAGATATTTTGTTTTTCTTCGCTCTTATGAATTGGGAGGAAACAAGAGACCTTATTTTTTATTGCTGCATGTGAAGTACCAGTAGTTAGCGGTATACAGTGAGGTCAATAGCAGGTCAATAACTTGCGGTTAGTGTGTGTTGACTTCGGTGTGTCACTGTCTCAAATAAAGTAACATAATACTCCAACGCTGTACGGTGATAACCCCATAGTATCACGGTTATTTAATCAACAGTTGTCATGAGAAAACATCCAGTCGTTTTGTATATGCGATGTAAAAAGACGTGATGTCTAAAATATTGGACGCTTCCCCTGATTTCAGATGCGGAGGTCTGAGGGAGTTTTGGGCGGGCGAGGGATCCCCCCCAGGGACACTCTGTTATCGATGTTTTCTTCACTTTCCTAGCAAAAGTTGATGGACGGCTGTGTGTGTGTGTTTGTGTGGATTAGGTGTATATTACATTGTGATAAAAACACAATGTGATCAAATCTTGTTATTTTGCCATTGTGGGGACCATTTTCAGGTTCCCAGAAAGATCTATGTATGCAATGAAAAAACTAAGAATGCCCTAAGTATCGTATTTTGTTTGATTACTTATGGTTAAGGTTAAGGCTGGGTAGGGGTTAATGTCATCATGTTGGGATTATAGTTTACCCCATAGAAATTAATAGAGTCCTCAAAAAGATATAACTACAAACGTGTGTGTGTGTGTGTGTGTGCGGGCGCGCGCGCGTGCGTGTGTGTGTGGGTGGGTGTGTAGCTGACACGGAATACTTTGTTCCGACACTTCTTAGGCTGCCAGGGTCATGAGCCGCTATGGGTCACCGCGACCGTAACTGGGCAAGCCGTATGGTATACTGAATAACAATATTTACTCGACCTGTATCCAGAAACCCATGCACGTGAATAATTATGTCAGATGTAGAGCAGATGACAAGAGATAAACAGGCTGCCCTTTTTAAAACCGCATTGGGTTAACCTGGGCTGACAAGGTGAAGAATGACGTCGAATCTTACCAAAGTTATGTCACCGAGTCACCGCTATCATTAGCCTTTATTTCTGACGCTGGTTTAATAAATGCCCCGTGAGTTAGAAAAGAAAAACTCGCTAGATTGTGTTCAGTTTGGTGAGGATGTTCGACTCTGCAGAGTTATTCTTGACATTGACCGTCTGCGGTTATCCCGCTGGTTCAGTATATCAAGCGATCGTTATCTGCAGCCCGGCTGGTCCGAGCAAAGGGCGCTTCGTAAAGACACGAAACGTCTCTGACCCGGGAGTGAATTGGGAAATCTCTGGCGAGTCCAGGGGCACAGGACACCCAGATCGGAGGAACCATTCAGAACTGGAAGGTGACAGGTAACGACAAAAACCTCACTGACCTCAATGACAACTCTTACTACTCACATTTAAGAGCTCCACATCGAGCGGCAATAATTTACTCAACCGTGCGAGCTGATGTCCAGTAATGATTAACTGTATCTAGTCTGAACACTTTGCCCTGCTCTGCTTTAATAGGACAATGATCAGAACATTTATTTCAAATGCAGTCATAAAAGTTACTTGTGGAAAATTCTATTTTAAATTTTTACTGAAATATATTCATATGGAATTAGTTAAGACGATCCTGTTTTGCCGCTTTTCGGAGATGATGTGTTTAGAATGTCGCATCATTCTAAAATGTAATTGATCATTTTTCTATCTTACAGTATTTATTCCATTCAGGAATCCTATATAAACGGGACATTTATTTTAGAAATATTCACTCTTGTTTCACTTATTCAGAGATTAAAGTTCCCAACCCGACAACTTCTCTGTCAATCTCCTCGCATTAAACACTACACACCTTCACGTGATTAAACGTAAAACACACTTTTATTGCTAATTTTTATTCCTAGTCCCACTTCATTTCAAATTAATTCGGGTGTGGCGGCGCATTATAGCTATCAGATATTTTATCGATTTCATATACAACATCTATGACACCTCTATCGTCTGTGTCATTTATGTCGGCAGGAAAGCAACGTCCACGTTGTCCGAAATAGGTCTATGGCAGCTGTGAGGCGTTTGTGGACGTCCAGGTCTGAAGAGGTGCGACTCCCTTTCTCGGTTACGCTTTTATGTGGGCCAGTCTATCTTGGGACCCCCCGTCATCATTCTCCCTAGAACGTTAAACGTAAAGACCGATAGAGCCTCTGGTATGTCACTTTTTATTGCGAATTTCTCCTTTTCCGTAGGTTGTAGAGATGGACGGATGGGTAGACTTCATACAGAAAGTCAGTGTGCTGCAGTGGGTTCTAACCTTCCTGTTTATGGGTGAGTGCCACACCTACCCATCTGAGCACAAGTGTACTTAGTCGCGAGACCTATTCCCGTTACTATAGCGTTCATTAACAGTATCTGGATAGACTTTATGTTATGTGGTACAAACTTGTTTATACAAGTTGGGTTTGCTGAGCAAGACTTAAACCATGGCTAATCCACCATGGGTCACTAACGTAACCTCTTCAGGTGCGTTCTTCACCCTACTGACCATCTACCTGCTGTTTACCTCGCTGTGGCTCCTCCCCACTGCCTACCTGCTGTGGATGGTGCTGGACTGGAGCACCCCAGAAAGAGGTAGGTGACTCTCTGACTCTCTCTCTCTCTCTCTCACCCTGTCTCCTGTGCCTGGACATTGACTGTCACACACATACAAACCCTCTGATCCCTAGGATTACGTTCAAGCATTAGTTATCTCTTCACATTCCATCTTATCAGTCTAAGGCTTCCTGCTCATATCGCTTTATACAGACCTTATTCTCCATCATCTCCCTGCTAAGCACAGTCAGCCCGGCACTGTCACTCAGTAGGATGGTATTCCATGCCTGTGACTGAACGGTTGCTGGTGTAAATCCCAGGGTCAGTAGCCTGGGGCCTTGGCCCCTTGAGCAAGGCCCGCAACCCCCAATTGCTCCAAGGACGCTGCACGCCGGCTTGACCCGTGCTGTGTACCCCCTCCGAACTTGCTGTCTCGCGTCTCGTGGGGAGCGAGACTAGATAGGCGAAAACACAATATTCCCATGGGGACCGATGAATTACCACAAAAATCGAAAATGAAGAAACCAGTGTGCTCATTGTGCTATGCTTTCTGGGTCCACCAGGGAGCAGACAGAGTGACTGGGTGCGAAAATGGCAAGTGTGGAGGCACTTTAAGAACTACTTCCCTGTGAAGGTAACCCAAGATGGGCGGCGGCTTGTAGAAAGGGCGTGTCTTTTCATCACCATGTGATCACTGGTAATCACATGACCATTCCCCTAAACTCTCTCTATTCTGTTTGTCTTGCTCCTTCTCTTAATCTTATGCCTTTAATCTCTCCCACACCTCTCTGATAAATTTCTGCTTCATGCTAACCCCCCCCCCCCCAAAAAAAAAAAAAAAACAAGCTGGTGAAGACCACAGAACTGAGCCCCAGTAAGAACTACATCCTGGGCTCTCACCCCCACGGGATTATGTGTGTGGGGGCCTTCTGCTGCTTCAGCACTGGATACGGCGGATTCTCCGAGGCCTTCCCAGGCCTGCGGGCCAACCTGGCCATCTTGGCGGGGCTCTTCCGCCTGCCGATCTTCCGGGAGTACCTGATGAGTGCAGGTGAGGGATGGCTTCTGGGCCCGAACTGCAGGGGGCGCTGGAGGGGAGATTGGGGACAGCCTGTATGCGGCTGAAGCTGAAGCAGATTGTGTGTCTGGGGCCATCTTGAGCATTTTGGCTGAAGCTCTGAAAAATTTGAGTTAATCTCGAGTCTGAAGGGTGTGCAAAAAAAAGACCATTTTCCCTCCCAAATTAAAAAAGACAAACTATACAAAACAGATGAGTGAGATCTCCATGCCAACCTGCTCATCCTGCTTCCTTCAATCCCCCTGTCTCTGCCCTCTCCTCTCTCCCTACCTCTTCCCTATGCAGGCATGTGCCCAGTGAGCAAGCCCAGCCTAGAGCACCTCCTCTCCAGGCGTGGCCAAGGGAATGCCGTGGTGATAGTGACAGGGGGCGCTGCTGAGTCACTGGACTCTGCCCCAGGTATCAACGTTGTGGTCATGAAGCAGAGGAAAGGCTTTGTCCGGCTGGCCCTGGAATACGGGTGAGGGCTACATTAACCCGACTGCGTTAGCTCAATGGCGTTAACCCAGTGACGTTACACCACAGCAGGGGTCTCCAACTCCGGTCCTGGAGAGCTACTATCCAGTAGGTTTTCTATCCTACTTGGCTTCTGATGAGCCACACCTGCTCCTGGTATTTACCTGAGAACTAGTGTGGCTCATCAGAAGCCAGGTAGGATAGAAAACTTACTGGATAGTAAACCTCCAGGACCGGAGTTGGAGACCCCTGCACCACAGCATTACTTTAATGACGTTACCCCAACAATGTTACACCAATGACATTACATCAATGATGTTAACCCAACAATGTTACACCAATGACATTTTATCAATGATGTGAACCCAATAGTATTACACAATGTTACACCAACAAAGTTAACCCAATAACGTTACACAAATGTTACACTAATGATGTTAACCCAACAGCATTACACCAACGTTACACCAGGGACCTTAACCCAACAACGTTACACAAACGCTACATAAACATTAAACAGATCTTCCCTTGAGTTGCTGCCTCCTCCCCTTCCCCGCCCCCCCACAGGGCTGACCTGGTGCCGGTGTACTCCTTCGGAGAGAACGAGCTCTTCAAGCAGGTGGTCTTCCCTGAGGGCAGTATGGCACGCAGCCTGCAGACAATCTTCAAGAAGCTCATAGGCTTTGCCCCGTGCCTCTTCATGGGCCAGAGCTGGGGCCTGGTGCCCTACAAGAGGCCTGTCACCACCGTGGGTCAGTATCCTGCCGCTTGCCTTGGGGGGGGGGCATTACTGGTGAAGCTTGCCATGGGTGTGACATGGGCCTCGAGCAGCACTGCCATCTATTTCTTCACCCTCCCTAACCCTGGCCGCTATTCCCCAGTGGGGGGCCCAATCCCTGTGCCCAGGCGGCCTTCACCCCCTGAGGAGATGGTGGACCACTACCACAGCCTCTACATGGAGGCCCTCACCAAGCTGTTCCACGAACATAAGGTCAGCTGTGGCCTGTCAGAGTCACATGACCTACGCATCATCTAGCAGTTCGTTGAGCGCTTTTGTGGAAACGGGAGCAACTGCACCGGAAACGGTGCTCTGATACAGCAGATGGGTACCTGCCAGATGAGACCCAACCAGGAGGCACCAGCTATAAAAACCACCAGCCAATGTGGCTGAAAGACTATTTAGAAATCTAATAAATATTCCTATTGCTCACATATTGCAGTTAACTGTTTCTGCCACTGGGTGTCATTGTTTCACCTATTTTGTTCAGGTCAAAAGTTCTGATAAACTAACTTCCAGTCCTTGGTGTGAGAGCTGCTGTTCGAAAGTCTAAAGCCCCGGCAGTCATATGTTTACAGAATACAGAGAGATGTTCATGTCGGAGTGGAGCACAAGTTGGGCTGTCTGGCCCCACCCACAGTCTCCCACTGACCAATAGATCGTTAGTACACTGTAAGAGGGAGGGGCTTACATCATCATAACATGAAGCACTGCACAGCGGGGGCCCTCATTTCTATAATTTCTTCATCCTGGGGCCCTTTACTCAGAATAATAATTTACTCAGCTTATAATTATTAAAGAAAGGTTAAAAAAAATGGCTGAATTAGGTCTGGCAAGAATTCGAGTTGTATGCTGTAAAATTTTTAGGCAAAATGTCCATTTGAATGTTAAACGTAAATGTAAAATAGTGGCACAAACGGTAGAATGTCAAAGTCAATGGGCCAATCAGGACTATTATTCTGAGTATAAATAATCATTCACAAATAACCAGGCAAGATCGAAAACAAAACCACTGAGCTGCACGGGACAACATTCTGATCAAAACTAAAATATATTTTGTAAATATTATATAATGCGAAACCACTTTGAACCACGTTCGAAGGTCTGCTGCAGTCTGGATATTATGCACGCACTTGCATATTTTGAAATTTGTTTTATTTAGCAAATTAACATTTACGTCAACATGCGGTTTCGGAGTGCAGCATTATTATTAAAATGAGCATAAAGCAGAAAATAATGCCATTTGCATGTTCAGGCAGAAAAATAGCAGCATGTTCCATTCTGCCACCCCCCCCGATGCATCACTATTGCAGGTATTTTTCACCATTACGGACAGACTTGGAAGGCTTGATGCAGCCCATGGCCTCTCAGCTCAACTGATCTCACAGCCAACGTGTCATCATGACTGATGACCAAATGACTAAGAATTCAACTCATATTTCAATATTAAAACAGTGTCCGGTTTCACACCAGGGTTTCCAAGGTGTTAAACGTGACATTGTGAATGGATCAGAAACACAAATCCAACAGACTAGCGAGTTTACGGGCCGATGCATAATCAGATCACCCATGAGGTACAGGACGTAACCAATTGATATTTAAAAAGCCCTACAAACGTGGGCAAAGGGTGTTAAAATTGCTAACAACTGACATCAGTTAAAAGGTGACAGTTAAATAAGCTCATCCTGGGTAAAATAAAGTCTCTCCAGGGATCTCCTCAGTGGCTCCCTCTGGTGGCCAAACACACTCATCTCCTTTGGCTGACCCCCTCTGGCCTTCATCCAGCAGCAGGTGCATTCAGGAGCTGGCCCTTCTGTTCGTTTCCGGAACTTTCTTGTGCTGCAGTGGTTAGGGTCCCTGGTAGTGGGGGGGGTTTTAGCTATCCCACACCCGGCGGCCGCCTCAGCCCACCAGGCGTCCTCATAGCGTCCATTTGAGACACCTGTTATGGACACAGGAACCATGAGTGACCCACATGGACAGAGCTACATGCCAGCTAAGGAGAGACAGTAGAGGAATCTGAACTGATCAACTCTTCTTACCACTATGCTCATAAAACAGGCCGCTGTTCCTACACTACTGCCCCCCCCCCCATAAAAAAAAAACCACACAGACACACAAAACCGTGTTCCAGATATGCGGCGTCATATTTTCTGTTCCTCGTTTTAGGTGCTGCTTTGCCATCATGTTTTTCTGGTAGCAGGTAGAAATCCCGTTTCCAAAAATGCCGGTAAAAAGCAAATAAAAACAGAATGTAATGATTTGGAAATCATATAAACTCATATTTAACTGAAAATAGAACTAAGATAACATATCAAATGTGGGGGAAAAAATGGTTTTATGCAAATATCTGCTCAATTTGCATTTGATGCCAGCAAAACATTTAAAAAGTTGGGACAGGGGCAACAACAGCCTGAAAAAGGTGTGTGACGCTAAAACAAAACACCTGGCTGAATGTCTCCCAACTAATTAGGTTAATTGGCAGCTGGTCAGTAAGGTGATTGGGTTTGAAAAGAGCCTCCCAGAGAGGCAGAGTTTCTATTTGCATGGGGAAATAATGCAACAATTTAAGAAAAATGTTCCTCAATGTAATATTGCATATATTTGATATGTTTTCTTAATCCTCTTTTCAATTAAATGTGGGTTTATATGATTTGTTTTTATTTACATTTTACACAGCATCCCCAACTTTCTTGGAAACTGTGTCATATTCAGTAGCTGGTCAGTAAATTTTAATTATTTTAATTTTTCAGCATCATATAACTCTGAAGAACCACATTCACATTATTTTTTATAGTTCTGAAGGTTGCAATTTTGAATTAGAGCTGCCCCCAGCTCAACCTCCCCCCACTGTCTTTCTTTCCCCCCTCCAGTGCCCCACCCCCACCCGCAATTCCCTTGTGCCCCACAGCTTAAATACCTCTGCTCTAATTGGTCGCCAAATGAACCAAGACAGAGGTGGAGAATTATGGATTAAATGAAAATTGTTTTACTGGGAAAACAGAGCAAGTGTGCAGCGTCACCTCGCACGTGTGACCGCCGGACTCAATTACCCACAAACCTCGGAGGCATCAATAATAGCTACGGGAACACAAGTAGCCCAAAACAGTGCTGATTACAGCTTTAACGTAACACATACTCCAACTGTCCTGATCTCACCAGCGGTTTACAAGGGGTTAGTGGAGTGAGAGATTAAACGTCTCAGTCCGCCAGGTGGGCTCGGCCAGTACCTGGTCTCCTGGTGTGTGCCCAGGCAGCGGACGCAGCAATAGCGCACCCCGCAGGACACGCAGGTGTATGACGACGGGAAGCCACACACGGTGCAGAAGTGGCGCTGAGGCAGCTTGGAGGGCTCCGCACATGCCGTCAGGTAGTTGGGACCCTCACTCACGCTCAGGTTCTGGGGGGTGGGAGTGGAATGTGAGAGGCAGGACAGGGGGCAGGGAGACTCAGGCAAGGAGGAGGGTGAGGAGATAAAGGTGGTCCCCAGGGTTGCTCCATCTCTCACCTCCTCCTCCAGCAAGGCTTGGAAGTTCTTCCGGAACCTCAGCTTGAAGTGATCTCCACGAGTCTTCTTTCTTTTTTTACCTAAGGAAAAAGAGGGTGGGGATGTAGGAGGTGTGTCAGATCACTGTGGAGGGGGGGAGGGGGTAGTAATCAGAGCATGCCCCTGGCCTCTGCCTGTAAGACCGGACGCACCTGACTCGTTGTTGTCGTCGAACTGCGGTAGCCGCTTGGCCAGCTGCGGCAGGCTGGCATGCGGGTCGTCCTGAAAGTTGTCCTTCTCCAAGGCTTCCAGCTGCCGGCTGAGGCGGCGCTGGCGCGTGGCGCGGTCCAGCACGCGCCGCTGGCCAGGGTCCTGCGAGCGGACTGGGGGGGGGGGATACAAATGAAAATGAACCCGGAATGACACAGTAAACCGACCGGACTCAGGGGAATGGCACATTCAGACCGGGTCACAGCCCAGGCTGACCGCATCCTGATGCCTAAGCGGCGTAGTGCTCAGTGATCCGTGAGCAAAATAATCTCTATTCCCAGTACAATCCGCACCTCCAGCTTAACCACACCGCTACTGTAATAAATACAGTACCAGTTAATCTGCGATGACTGTCCAATGTCATGCTAAATTTGGCATTATTTTGTGACTTAAACATAGTACAAACACGTATCACAGCATCACAACCCAAGCAGCGGCTAAATAGATTTCTATAACCTATCGGATTGAGTTGGAAGGAAGAAAAAAGACTTTTGATGTATTTAGCGTTCTAAAACATATTCTTGCAATATTTCGACCACGAACAAGCCCAACAAACGTCGCATTTGTTTGAAAGATTTAGAACGCCATACCCGACGTCTTCTTCTCCACCATTTTCGGGGACGGTTTCTACGGCGGCCGCAGGTGGGCAGTCCGAACAAATTAAAAAGCGCGTTTCCGCTTAACCTAGCCCGTAGCAGGGCGGTTTCCGCAACATCATTTGCTGAAACACTGTGTATTAACTAAGAAGTATTGAAAATAGGAGTAAATGCTGTTATTTTTGTGCATGACGTTTTTATCAACTGCGTGTGACCCAGATATTTTGGAACGTTTTTCGAGCGAATACGTGACGCTGGTCTCAATCAAGTGCGAACAGAACCGCCAGTGCACTTTGCGTTACCTCACAGCAGGTGGGGCTCCTACTCAGCAGCTTATTAAACGCTCGGTAAATGCACCCACGAGGAAATAAATTGAAAACAAGCGCGTACATAAAATATATTAGAGAAAAAAAAAAAGAATTTCCAAGTCGGCACAGAAGGTGGGGATGCAGTTAAGGGCCCGGCTTTTTAATCAATGAGATGCAAGTTCAAGTCCCAAGGGGAGGCATGATATTGCATCAGGGAACAAAAAATTCACATATGTAAATAATAAAAATCCTTTTATTATGTCAATTAACTATTTTAATTCTGAAGCTTTGTGGAGGTCATTTGTAGTTCAGATTGTGACACACAGGGGAGTTCGGAAGGTAATTGTTCTGCCCTGGAACTCAGTTACAATGTCTACCTGCCGACTTCGCTCTGCCCCCTGGTGTTTAAGTCACAGACGTGCAGCTCGCACAGGGCATCACTAACTGAGCGAAGCCCCGCTTCTCTCTCTTTGCCGAAGAAGCCATCACCACACAACACAGTGTAAAGAAGCTTTTATTTAACCCACCCAAGTGTTAAAAACAAAACGAACATCTGCTGTACAGTCGAGCACATGGGGCACAGCAGGACAAGCAGGTGAATTTCAAAAATACAAAGAAATGAAACTTGTAGACAATTCCAAAGCAGTTGCAATGGTTTTGATTACGTGTTAGGAAATTAAAAACTACCTTATTAGGTACAGGTATTTTAAACATGAAAATGGGGTTTGCTGCTGATTTTACGGTTTTTTTATACACCTCTATGCTTATCGCACAGCACCTTCAGTTAACATGCTCTCTGCTCTCCACACATTCACTCTAACACAGCACAATGGTCGTCTTCAGGAAGTGCTGGCTGCTGGTTACAGCTGTGCCGCTTCAATTAAAATCACAGTTTGGACAGAAATCATCATCTGGCTTTTACTGGTAAGACAGTGATCTGGTCTGTAAATTATTCACAGCCATGAAACCTGGTGCTATTTTCCATTCACACATCCACTTTAGACCTGGAGTTTACGTACTGTTAAAGCCCACAGTGTAAACAGTACCATAGAGTCTTTGTCCAGAAGGCCAGACCCTCAAACTCCTCACCTGAGACCCCCCCCCCCACACACAAACACACAATCCCCCAAGACTCAGTGCCTAGGGGTCGATGAACGACATCATGATGTACCGCGTGCCCTGAGTGGTGGGCAGCCCTTCGGGGTAGTGCGTCAGGCGGCCTGGATGTATCAAGGACCAGCCCTTCCTGGGGGCCTCCACCCTGCAGTCATACCGCTGGAAGTGGCAGCCGCCCCCCTGGGAGAAACACACCATTGGTGAATACCCAACCGGCTCATGTGACTGCTTACTCAACTCTGCCCCCTACAGGCCAGTTTTATTTTGCCATCTTCCAGGAATTCATTAATAAACATTAACATTTAATGAAGCTGATACCTGGCTTATTCTAACAACAACAAGGTAATTTGCAGGCAATCTACAAAATATATATATAAATATAACAAACAGATCAGCAGGTGGCATAGTGGTTAAAGTCAGGGGACTAAGCCTCTGTGCCTGTGATCAGAAGGTTGCTGGTTTGAGCCCGGCCTTGCTATGTCTGTGGGTGCTTCAGCAAGGCCCTTAACCCCAAACTCTCTGGGCGCTCTATGGGTGGCTGCCCTTCACAACCAGCTTGATTTCACCTACAGAGAGCAAGTTGGGGGAGGCATAAAGAGAATTTCCCCATGGAAATCAATGAAGTATCAATTATTATTATTACTGTTAAATGTGTTTGTTACTTGAAGGTAACTGGTGGGGCATTTCTGCTGAGTAAACTAGCTGATTAGTCTCTGAAAAGTCAGTTGGAAAGTACAGTAAAGTTGAGTCCTCCAGCTGGGGCTAATTTAGGCCCCTTACCCCCCCGGCTGTACCTGATAGTCCACGCCCTTGCTGTTGAGTGCGATATTGATGATGAATGTGGAGGAGTCTTGGTGTGGCTGCAGGGACAGCTGCTCATCTGGCCGGTACCGCACCACAAAGTTCATCACGGCCCGTGCCTGGGGTGGGGGTGCGGGGAGGGAGTGGTCATCAACCCACTCCAGTGGAGCTCCCAGAACCCACAGACTCACACCGACACAGAACCACAATCCGTGTAATAAGAGGCCTGTACTTCCTACACACATAACTCAGGCTGTTTACTGATAAGACCAGCAGGGGGTGTGGAGATTAAGGACTTGTGTCATGCAAAGCTTGCTGGTTCAAATCACAGAAGACAACAGCTATGGCTCAAACTGCTTATCAGTCCACCAGAACAGTTGTGTGTAAATACTGTGAGTTAATTTGGCTGAAACTGTTAGAAATACTAAACTGAGCTATGGAAGTGAGTGTGACAATTAATGTTACGTCGGATAAAACAAAACATCTGAATAAAGTCTTAGTAATGTCTGAGTAACATCTGAGTAATGTCTCACCCTGGTGTAGTAGCCAGGGTAGATCTTCTCCACAACCGGAGCGATGTACTTCTGAAGGAAGTGGAGCCACTGCTTCTCGAAGCCCATCTGGTTCATGTGGATGCCCACCGTGGGCACGTTCTCATCCCCCCCCACCAGCCTCTCACCCTGCCTCAGAAACGGGGGTGAGAAACATGTGAGCTGTTCACTCATTCCCACAGAGCCCAGCCCCTGTCGATAACCCACCCCCCCAGGGAAGAATGATCCACCCCACGGACCAGACTGAGCGTGCTCGTTACCTTGTGGCCTTCTCGCAACCACTGGCTGAAGCTCTCCATGTTCGCCACCAGGTCGTCGCACATCTTGTCGGAGAAGACTGGAAACCAGTACACATCTGGGCATGGCTGGGACTATATACAGTCATTGACAAAAGTCTTGTCACATAAGGACATAGTAACTTAAAAAGGCATATAACTTTATTTCTAATCAATCGTTACAATAAATGGATCAATTTAATGCCAAGGACTTTCACATTAATAACTGGGTACAAAATGAAACAGTCAAAAAGTGTCCTGATGTTCACAGCTTGTTAAAGTCCATAACACCTGTCTTTGCAAGGACAAAAGTCTTGTCATGTCTTTTAATGATTCAACCAATCACAGATTTGAGGTTCACCTGTGACAAATACTGTAATTAACATAATCCCAGGTGTGTATAAAAAGATCCCCAGCAAACCAGACCTTCACTTGAAGTGCAACCTGACTTCTGACAACATGCCAAAGATTCAACCACAGACCAAGTCTGCTGCTGAGGTGTCAGACGTCATTAATGTATCCAAACATCAAGTGGAGAGGATTAAAAAAAGATATGAAGAAACTGGTGATGTTCATGACAAACTCAGGTCAGGCAGACCACGTAAGACAACTCTTCAAGAGGACCATTTGTTGCTTTGAAAGTCCAGGGCCAACCCTTTTTCAACTGCAGCAGAGCGACATCAGAACTGGTCACCAGAATCCGCTGTGTCTACAAGAACAGTTTCTCGAATTCTCGCACGCAGTGGTCTCCATGGCCGAATTAGTGCTCAGAAACCAGCATTAATGAGAGCACAACAAAAAAAGCGTGTTGAATTTGCCAAGGCCCACAGCTTGCAGCAAGGATGGACAGAGGCAAAGTGGCAGAAAGTTGATTTTTCTGACGAATCATCCATTGAACTGCATACCAAATGCTGCAAATACTGCAGGAGACCTGTTGGAACCCGCATAGACCCAAGATTCACCCAGAAAACAGTCAAGTTTGGTGGAGGAAAAATCATGGTTTGGGGTTACATCCAGTATGGGGGTGTTCGAGAGATCTGCAGAATGGATGGCAGCATCAACAGCCTGAAGTATCAAGACATTCTTGCTGCCCATTACATTCCAAACCATAAGAGGGGGCAAATTCTACAGAAGAATGGCACTCCTTCTCATACTTCAGCCTCCACATTGAAGTTCCTGAAACTGAAGAGGATCAAGGTGCTCCAGGATAGGCCAGCCCAGTCACCAGACATGAACATTATTCAGCATGTCTGAGGTAAGATGAAAGAGGAGGCTTGGAAGACGAAACCAAAGAACCTAGACCAGGGGTCTCCAACTCCGGTCCTGGAGAGCTACTATCCAGTAGGTTTTCTATCATACCCGGCTACTGATGAGCCACACTAGTTCTCAGGTAGAGACCAGGAGCAGGTGTGGCTCATCAGAAGCCGGGTATGATAGAAAACCTACTGGATAGTAGCTCTCCAGGACCGGAGTTGGAGACCCCTGATCTAGACGAACTCTGGGAGTCCTGCACGACTGCTTTCTTTGCCATTCCAGATGACTTCAT